CTGTCCCTGGATATTTTGGGAGTGTCCCCGGCAGAGCGCGGCGGGAGCCAGGGGCCTCATTGGACATCTCCAAGGACGCACCTAAAGAATGTGTCACGCGGCTTCCCCTTGACCCCGAGCCCCACCCGGGACCCAGAGCTGTGTCAGCAGCAGCATAAACGGTACAGAGATAAAGGGAGATATTTAAACACCCAGAAATCATCTTCTAATTTAGGAACCGAGCTGCAAAATATCTGCCTCCCTTAAAGGCTTGAGTTCGGAATCTGGTTTTTGAACCTCTTCCCCTGCCCGGCTGCCAAAACATCTTCATGCCGTGATAGACGGCAAGCGGGTGGCTTCAGGGACAGGAGGGCTGCGCGTCTTCGGTTGTCCGGAATCAGAAGACCAGGACCAGCAGAGCCCTTACTGGCCTCTTTGTTTACACTGCATTTCCGCCTTGGCTTCTGTAGCCTTATGTTGCTGCTATTGTCACTGTGATTATTAAGTACTTAACTTGCACGAGGGGTGTGGAATCCTTTAATTACGGCCCTCCCTGCATCCTTGTCGGAGGCAAGTTGGAATTGTTCTTCCTGTCTTGCACAAAAGAAAATGAAGGCCTGGGTGAGTGAACAAGTTCAAGGTCAAAGATGAGCACAAGGGAGATGCCAGGATGTGGGTGAGAATCGGGCAGGCCCTTTGTTCCAGCCCGGTTTAGAATCCTGGCAGGTCTAAATTCAAGATGTGTGCTCTATTCCCCCAGGAAGTGGTTGGGGAGCGTGTGTGTGTGTGTGTGTGTGTGTGTGTGTGTGTGTGTGTGTGTGTGTGGTTTCTGCGTGTGTCTGTGTGCAGGGATGCCTGTGCAATGGTTTGTGAGTTGGCCTATGTGTATTTCTGTGTTTGTCTGTCTGTTTGGAGGAAGAGGAGGAGAGGGAGGACCACCCAAAGACGACAAGAATCAGTTAATAAAGCTTAGAATGGCGAAGCTAGAAGGCCCTTAAAAACCATCTGGAATATACTAAGATCTCACTGTTAATTTTGGTAGCTGTGATAATAGCAAGGCGATTTCATTAAAAAATGTGATGATCAAACATTGACTGGTTAAATGCCAAGGTCCCTTCTTTATTTTTTTTTTAAATTTTTATGTCTTTATTTTATTCTGAGAGACAGAGACAGAGAGCGAGCAGGGGAGGGACAGAATCTGAAGCAGGTTCCGGGCTCTGAGCTCTCAGCACAGAGCCCAACATGGGGCTTGAACCTACGGACTGTGAGATCATGACCTGAGCTGAAGGTGGATGCTTAACTGACTGAGACCCCCAGGCGCCCCTACAAGGTCCCTGCTTTAAATCTGCTTTAAAATACTTGAGCTGACTGAGGAGAGGGAATAAAAAATGAGACGGACAAAATGTGGATCATTGTTGAAGTTGGATACTGAGATGTTGATTATATGATTCTATTTCTGTATATGTTCGAGATTTTCCATAATACACTTTTTTTTAGGTTTATATATTTGTTTTGAGAGAGTTGGGGAGGGGAGAATCTGAAGCGGGGTCCACACTGTCAGCACAGAGCCCCACACGGGGCTCCATCTCACGAACCGTGAGATCATGACCTGAGCCAAAATCAAGAGTCGGACGTGTAACCAGCTGAGCCACCCAGGCACCCTGCCAGGGTACATGTTTCAGTCGTATATGCCAGTCACTGCGAGCTGTCATCCTGTTGGTCAAATATCACTTGTGAAAACCTTTGTAAAAACTGAACTAGTTGCCAGTGCGTACAAATGGGGGGTTGCATATAAAAATCTGGATTTCCAGCTTTTCTGGAAAAAATCAGAAGCTCTAGTGACTCTGGCCCCATACTCCCTTTCAGTAACAAAGCTGGAGCATACCCCTTGTAGTTGGGGCTTTTGCTCTCAGTTTGCCACAGTCCCTACCATCCTCTATTACCCCGACACTAAAACTGCCTATCATCACTCTCCCGTCACTATTTCTCTTTTGTTTTATGTATATATATACATATTTTTTACATTTATTCGTTATTGAGAGACAGAGCGCGAACAGGGGAGGGGCTGAGAGAGAAGGAGACACAGAATCCAAAGCAGGCTCCAGGCCCTGAGCTGTTAGCACAGAGCCCGACGCGGGGCTCGAACCCACAAACCGCGAGATCATGACCTGAGCCGAAGCTGGACGCTCAACCGACTGAGCCACCCAGGCGCCCCAACTATTTCTCTTTTAGTAAAAATAAGAGGAAAATGAACATGTTCTCTTGGGGCAAAGACTGCTATTTGCCACCCGAATGTCCAATCTCCACTTCTTTCTTACTAACAGAAATTCCCACACTATTAGGGGTGACGGTATATTCAAAAATCACATTTCCCAGCGTTTCTGGGCTCCGGGAGTGTCCTAATGTTTCTCAATCAGGGACGATTTTTGGTTGTCACGGCTGGGGAGGGGCACGCTACTGACATCTAGTGGGTAGAGGCAGGGATGCGACACAGGACAGCCCGACGTGACAGGTCCCTGGGGCTGGAGCGGAGCGGCCAGTGCCTTGTAAATCAAGTTGATGGTAGGGTTTCCAAGAAAGGCCTTTGATGTCTTGCCATCCTCCCTCATTTTCCCTGTAATGCAAACATGGCTGGAGCTCAAGTGGCCATTTTGTGACCTCAAGGAGGGAAGTTCTGTGCAAGGCGGGAAGAGAATGGAATCCCCCACATCGTCACAGAGCTACCGTACCTGCCGCTTAGCATGCTGCCCTCCAGGCTGGTTTTATGTGAAAGAAATGCATCTCTAATTTGTTTAAATCCCTAGAGTCGAGTCTCTGTTACCGTCATCTAAGTGCAGTATCTAAATGATTTATCTCTGTGCTTGATTCTCTACACTAGCGAGGAAAGGAAAGAGAAACAGGAGGGCCGAATGTTTAAAATTTTTAAAAAGGAGAAGGGTGCCCGGGTGGCTCCGTCCATTGAGCCTCTCACTTCGGCTCACGACATGATCTCACAGCTGGTGGGTTCGAGCCCCGTGTTGGGTTCTGTGCTGATGGTGTGGAACCTGCTTCAGATTCTGTGTCTCCCCCTCTCTCTGCCCCTCCCGCACGCAGGCTGTCTCTCCGTCTCTCTCTCAAAAATAAATAAACAGTAAAAAAAAAAAAAAAAAGTTAAAAAAAGGAGAAAGCATATTTCTCTGTGGCAATGACCCAACCCACTTCCCTTGTTGATGTCACTTTTTGGCTCCCATGGGCATTTGGGTTTGCAGCTCCTCGATGGTCCGACCTCTTCACCAAAAATATGAGGAACAGAGAACCTTAGCAGGTTTATGGTGACCTGAGGGCTAATCCACAACCTGGTTCTTCTCTCCTCACGATCCTAAGAGAGTCTTACGCGGTGGTGAAGAATGTGGTTACCAGGGGGCGCCTGGGGGGCTCAGCTGGCTAAGCGTCGGACCCTTGATTTCGGCCCAGGTCATAATCTCAGGGTGATGGTATCAAGTCCTGCATCAGGCTCTGAGCTGACAGCACGGGGCCTGTTTGGCATTCTTTCTCCCTCTCTCTGACGCCCCCACCCCCGCCTGTGCTCGCTCGCTCTCTCTTAAATAGATAAGTAAACTTTACCAAAAAAAAGAAAAGAAAAAGAATGTGGTTTCCAGAGTCAGGCTGCCTGGGTTCAAACACTAGCGCCACCGCTGACTGGCTCTGTGACTTAGCTCACTTATCTCTGTCCCTCAATGTCTCATCTGTAGCATCAGGATGATAATAAAGGCGTCTGTTGCTCGGGATTGTTAAGAAAACTCCCATCAGCCAGGGTCCCAGCAGGACTAGAATTTTTAGGATAAACTGTAAATAAAGGTGTGGGTGGGGTGTAGGGAACCCGCAGGGACACTGCAACACCCCAAGGCTACTAACAGCGGGCGTGTCACCTCCAGGTAGTAACTGGGGGGTGGGGGGCCGCGCCAAGCCCTAGATGGAGTCGTCATCACGTAGCCTGAAGGGCCAGATCTGGAGAGAAGGGGACTATGGAGAGGGAGTCTGAAGGACTTGTGACCTTCAGTTGAGGGACATAGTAGCCCGTGGTGACCCAACGGGACAGCTGGTGGAAAAATACCCAGACCTTCTCTGCTTCCTTTTTCCCATCTCCTTCCAACGTCTCTTATTGGTCAAACCCAATCAGAAGCCAGCAGGCAGGAGAGCCCTTTGAGGTTGTCCACACAGGTCACTGGGCGGAGTGAAGAGGCTGGAGGTGGAGGCCAGAGGCGGAGGCTGGAGACCTGGGCTTGCATCCCCTACTCTGTGACTGCAAGCTTCTGGGTTGTGTAATTGTAAGGAACAGAAATGCCTCTCCCTCTCCTTTCCCCATTCATAGAAAGGACTATGCATATGATGGCAGGAGCTCAAGCAGCCCTTTGAGACCACAAAGTGGAAATCACATGTTGAGGGTGCTGAGCAAGATAGCACGAATCTGAATCCCGGGCAAGGTAGAACCACCGTGGCCTACGGGACACTAACCCCAGCAATGTTCCGTGAGAGAGGATTAAACTTTTATTTTGTTCAAGCCAAGTTATCTTGGCTTTTATTACAGCAGCTGAACGGATGTCCTGAGCAGTACAAGATTTAAATCAGGGATTCACTCGGATTTTGGAACTATTTTAGGCCGAGCTTTTTAAAACACGCATAAGTGACTGGAAAGTTCCAGACTGTGCTCGAAAATACCGGGAAGGAATCTGCTCTCCAGGGAAAGGCAAAATAATCCAGTAGGGGGCAGTGTTTGGTGAAGAAAAGACTAGAAAAGGCACCTACAAGTCCTTTGGAACTGAGGTGTTCAGGAAGCCCAGCTCCCTAGTCAGGGTCCCAGGCACTCCAAGCTCACAAGGGAGCCGCCTCCCACCAGCGACCAACCGAATCCTGAGAGGACATCAGCTTGCACCAAGTACGGTGACCATCCGGGAACCAATGGCGCCGGCCATCGCACCTCAGCTGCTCTGATTGGCTGGTGCTCGGTCACGTGCTCTGTGGGTGGGGTGCGGCCCGAAGCTTCCGGAAAGGGAGCGGTTGGGGAGCCGGTAGTTGCACTCCGGGGGGAGCAGGGACCTTGGCCCGGAAGGGACCGAAGAGGGTGCAGGAGGGTCCCAATTAGCAAACATCCTTGATACTCACCGGTAGGAAAGGAGGAAAATCTAGAAAATAACCTAACGTGTCATGGTCGCGGGAATAGCCGCCGTGGGATGTCCCATCAGCCCCTCTGCCAGATTCCTTTTTGGCAAATGGGAGTATTGAGCCAGACTGGCTAGAGACCCGAGGGGCGTTTCCAAAGCCGCCGTCAGAGCGCCCCGTGTTTCCGTAATTTCAGGGAAACTCAACAAAGGAGTTCAAGCGAAACACAGGAGGCGGTTATGTACCCAAGGGTAGGGTGTGAGGCTTGTCACTGCCAAGGGTGGGATGAGTTCCCTCCACCCAGTGTAGAAGTGTCACCAGCGTCGGCCCCAAATGCGGTTCCTACGGGAGTGCTATTTCGTTGAATCACAGCTTTTTTCCGCCCTGTTCTTTGGGGACATTTTAAGGAAGGCTGGGATTGGATCTAATCGATATCTGGGTTTGGAAACCCCCAGAAGCCGAGCTTGATGTTAGTTGTGGTTTCCCCGGAGACAAACCCTGAGACAAAGATTCAAGGAGAAATAATTTATTTGGAAGGCGCAAGACACACCAGCAGGGAAGAGAAAAGTGAGCCAGGGAACCGAGGGCCACTGAAGTCGCACAAGTTATCAAGACCATTATCCCGTGGGCAACTGAAGCTTAATCCTGCCAGTGTAGAACACATGTCTAGGGGGTTCGTGCCAGAGGGGCCAGGGAACTGGGGTACCCGTGTGTACCTCCTTCCATGCCTTGGTTGATGGCTGGATGCTTGGGAGTGGGGGGGGGGTGCATGAATCCTCCAGCACTTCTAGCCGGCTTGACTCCAACAGTGGTGGGGGGCGGGGGATCATCCCTTAGCGTGCTTAGGCGTGTTTTCATAATCCCACTTTACAGACGAGAAAACCGGGTCACACAGCTGATGGGACGTGCTCTTGGTGACATGGCGGTTAAGGGCAGTGCTTGAACCCCAGCTTCCGGTGTGCCTGTGGCCCATCCAAACCCCAAGGGAAGTTCATGTGTTTAAATGAGACCCTTAGGTGCCGATAGCATAATCACGAATGAGTCAATGACCCTTGCAATTTCAAAACTGCAGTTTTCACGTTCTGGCTCATGGGGACTTTCTGCAACAGTCTCAGTGTTAGCACCGGAACAAACAGCTAAAAGAAGAATGCAACGTGGGGGACTCAAGGCCAATGTCCACATGTTTACGTAAGTCCCTATAAATCCTATACTAGTGATATTTGTGAGCACAACCTTCAAGGGCAAGGTCAACATATGTCCCTGGCTCTGCTGTGTGTCCTGAGGAAGTCCTTTCATCCCCCTGAGTACCAGCTTCCTCAATTCTCAAATGATACTAAGACCTACGTCGTAGGGTCGTTGGGAGAATTCTGTAAGGTTCTGTGTGTCAGATGCTCAGTATCGCGATGTGGTAGCTTTTCCTGTGGCTGCTCTAACAAACCCGCACAGATTTTGTGGCCTAAAGCAACATAGAGTTCTTATCTTCTAGTTCTGGATGTCTGAAGTCCAAACAGTGGGTCTTCTGGAGCTCAGGTCCACGTGTTGGCAGAACTGCATTCCTTCTAGAGGCTCTCAGGGTGAATCTGTCCCCTTGCTTTTTCCATCTACTACAGACCAGCTGAATTGCTTGGCTCATGGCACACCTTCCATCTTCAAAGCCAATAGCATGGCATCTTCTGATCTAATACTAGTGAATATTAAAATAGAAAAATCTTAATTACATATGTATTTATTTTATATTTACATGTACTTATTTATATATCGCTTTGGCTGTCAACTGATGCATGACACACCACCCCAAGACTCAGTGGCTTAAAAACAACAATTAATGGTCACTCACAGTTCTGTGGGTCGATGGGTCTCAGCTGAGTGGTTCTCACTTGGGTTCTCTCCTCCAGCTGCAGACTGACAGAAACTGGGGTTGATGCTATCTTGACTGGGACTGGACATCCAGGGTGGGGTCTCAGTGCTCTCTCACTGGAGTAGGCCTGGACTTCATCCATGGTGGCTCAGGGCTACATGAGACAGGAAGCCCAGAAATGGCCCAGCATCTGTTTTATTGGTCAAAACAGATGCAAGGTTAAGTCCAGTCCAGATTCAAAGGGGCAGAAAACTAGACCCCATATCTCAAGGGAAGAACTTGATAATAGCCATCTTTGACGTCAAGTTAATGTATGTCTTACTCTTCCTCTACCCACCCCTCCCCCATACCATCCCAGGAGGTTACACGCTATCCCCCTTCCCCCTCTCATTCTGGGATGTCTCCCTCTTCTTCTTTGAGGGGAATACCACTGGGGAAGTGAATCGCACTTTTGTGGGTTTCCAGATAAGACATGAAACTTGCCCCCTCCAGCAGCATCAAAAGTTCAAGATTCTTGGAGAAATTGGGGTGGGCTTTTTTGCTTTGTTTTGCTTGTTTAACATCCCTTCCCACTTCCTGTCCCAGGATCCCAATCTTCCTGTGGGGGAACTAGTGGTCAACCACGGTGGGGGGGGGGCTTGCACTCTATTAGCCTATGAATGGGTAAGTGACCTGGGCCACCAAAACAAACAAACAAAAAACCAAAAAAGCCCTCTCCGAAATTTTAATCTCAAATGGAGCCACAGAAAAATTCGGAAAAAAAGTTTGCAATGGACACTGTAGGTGACTCCCCACCAGGTATTCTACCCCAGGTGCAGGGAGGGCCTGATTAGTCTCTCTAGAGGTTACCCCCAGCCTCCGCACCACTGACATTTGGAACAGGCCATTTTTTGTAGAGTGTGAAGAAGGGGAGAGGCTGCTCCGGGCCTCATAGGGTATCTGTCTGCATCCCTGACTCCCACCCATGAGAGGCCACTAACACTACCCAAAAATGTGTCCCCACAGTGCCAAATGTCCTCTGGGGGCCAAGAATCACCCCATGTGTCTCTTCCTGATGACTGGCTCGGGGGTGAACAGGCCCATACCCGTTGGGCCCCCAAGACACCTGGATAAAGTTCCTGGCTGAAATGCTTCCTGACTCCTAGGAGAGATCCAGGGGAGCCATTTTCTCTTTCTTCCCTTCCTGGAGGTTAGTAATGTTATAGCCTCGTTACTACTGGCACCCCCCTTTGTAGATGCAGAAGGAATGAGCTTTCAAAGGAAGTTAATATGTGGATGGTAGAGGGAGGGAAGAAAGAGAACATGGGTTCTCAAGTACATTCCTGAACCTCTGAATCGACCAGCCCTGGAATTGCCCCACCTACCAACTTCCTTTCTGCTCGAGCCAGTCTGAGTTGAGTTTTCTATTCCTTGCAGCCAAAACATCCTAAGTGACACATCCTCAGAGAAGAGAGCACTAGGGGCGCCTGGGTGGCTTAGTCGGTTAAGCGTCCGACTTTCGCTTAGGGCATGATCTCGCGGTTCGTGGGTTTGAGCCCCGTGTCGGGCTCTGTGCTGACTGCCAGCTCAGAGCCTGGAGCCTGTTTCAGTCTGTGTCTCCCTCTCTCTCTGACCCTCCCCTGCTCACGCTTTCTCTCTCTCTCTCTCCTAGAAATAAATAAAAAACATAAAAAAAAAAAAAAAAAAAAAAAAAAAAAAAAAAAAAAAAAAAAAAAAAGAGAAGAGAACACTAGCCAGTTTAGGCAACTGAAGACCCCCCCACCCCCTGCCCCAGGGCATCCTGTTTCCAATCTTTTCCAAACTTGCTTTAGGAGCTTTCCCTCCAGAAAGTTCTTTCTCTCTTTCTATTTCTAAAGTGCCTTGCGTCTTCCTAACAAGTTCCTCTTCTGTTCCTGTTGCCAGAACCAATGTTGTGATTTGTAGTCGGAGAATTCTATGACCTCAGTTGACTAATTCCAGCCCCAACTGCCCCACCCCCTTCCCGGCCACCATATCACCACCATGGAGCTACCTTGAAACCTGTTTGCTGAGTATGACTGACTCTCCTCATAATTCACACATTTCTTGAGGCCTACAAGAAAGACTGAGCCTCATGTGATCAGGTCAATGGGCAAATCAACACAGAAAACAGTCTGGTAAGTTCTAAAGACCCACTGCACAGAAGGGGTCATGCCAAAGGCAGCCCAGTGAAGTCACTCCAGTGCACCCTGAAGACTGCTAGATCCAGCAGGGGCTGAGAACTGGGTTACAGGGCAGAGAGAAGGGCAGGATTCCAGGGTCAGAGAGCCCTTGGCTACACCGCCACCCCAGCCTGTGGAAGGAGTTGCTTTGCCCTGTGAGCGTCAGCTGCCTCATCTGTCAAAGGGGTGTTATTGTATTAGCTTGTCAGGGTTGACGTGCCTGCTCACTGAGATGACGCACGTCAGACCGGTTTAGTGATGTGTCCCAACTCGTTAATGGAACTATGAAATCGTTTTCTTTTTATAATAACTACTACCAAATATTCTTTGTTGAGACCTCCCTTTCCCCTCTGGGTTTTAATACCAATCATCGAGTAGTGGTAGTATTAGCAGTAGAGACCGGAGTAGAGGTAACAAAGGCTCTCCCAGTGTGCTCCCTAGCCACCAGGCTCTGCCCCAAACCCCTTGGGTAGGTGAGCTCAGTAGATCCTCAAAATGACCCATGTTATTCCCATTTTAGAGAAACAGAGAAACAAGAAGTTAGGTAATTTGCCCCGAATCATGCAGCTCTCTTGGGGTGGGTTTCCTTAACCTACCCCTCTGCAATTCCATAACTCGTCAGGCTCTTATGGTTCAATTCAGCTTTTAAAACTCAAAACGCCTCAAGGCACCTGCGTGTCTCCATTGGTTAGGGGTCTGACTCTTGATTTCAACTCAGGTCATGATCTCACGGTTCGTGAGTTCAAGCCCTACGTTGGGCTCTGTGCTGATAGCACAGAGCCTCCTTGGGACTCTCTCTCTCTCTGCCCTTCCCCTGCTTGCGGTTGCTGCATCTTTCTCTCTCAAAAGAAATAAGTAAACTTAAGAAAAGTCAGAATGCCTCAAATTAAACTACTAGTCTCCACAAGTGAGCCACAACTACCCCCAGCGCAGATGGATATCATGGTCATGAAGTTGAGCGAAAGAAGGCAGAAATGAAAGTGTGTCCACTGGGTGATTCCATTTACGTGAAGTTCAAAAACAGGCAAAACGAATCCACAGTGTTAGATGTCAGGATCATAGTAGTCCTTGGGCGGGGGAAGGACTGAGAAGGGGGACTTGGTGGCTTCCTAGGGGGTCTGGCAGAGTTCTGTATCTTAATCTGGATGCTGGCTGTATGACTATATCCAGTTTGTGGAAATTCTTTCAGCTGTGTACTTACAACACATTTATTCTTCTGCAGATGTGTTAATTTCAACAAGAAGTACTTGAAATAATTTCCATCTCATATTCAATTCAGAGTTCTTTTACACCCTCCCTCCCTTCCACCACTCAGTTCAAGCTAGACTCACAGCTCTAGGGACTTAGAACTGGGGGCCAGGTAGGAAGAGATGTCACCTGAAGAAAGGTGGCTGTCCCTAACTGCTGGATGGGTATGTAAAGAGCCTGGAACAAAACGGATATCATTGGGGCCCCTAGATGGAAACCTAATATTTTTGACATCTTGAGGTTTGGGGAGTCATAGTTGGTCAAAGAAGTCACTTCTATTTGAAGCCTTTCTGTTAGACAAAAGGAAAAGCCAAAGTGTCCTCTCTCAGGCCAAGTGCCTCCAAAAGCCAACTTGGAGGCAAGGATTTGAACGCAGCTAACTTAGTTAAGAGGCGATCTCAGGGGGCCCTGGGTCGGGAGTGGGGAAATGCGATGGGGGAGGGAAGGGACATTCAGGGGCAGGTTTGCTTCTGTGGGCAAGTGGGGTTCCCCCCTGGGGGCCTGCTAGGAGAATTTGCATGGCTTGCCTCTGAGTGGCCCCGCCTGAGGAACAAGGATCTCGGGTACTTATTCACCGGCTTCCACTTGCCACTGGCTGAGGGCTGCTTCTGAAGGCTGGCACTCCTGGCCAGACCCGAAGGTGAGCTGAGCCCACTCCTGTGGCCAGAGAAGGCTTTCAGCCAGAGAGCCGCAGGCGTGAGCACTGTGCGCTGAGTGAACATCTAGTCCCACACTTCCGTGCAGAAAATAAACCCTGGCCGGCTGAAGCATCAGTCAGATCGAGTGTTTCTTGCAGCAGAAAGCATCCCACACGGGCATGTGAAGAGCAAGGGGGAGCTGGAGAGGAGACTGAAGCAACAGTTTGGAGCAGGAAGAGGCAGTGACAGCAAGAGTTTGAGAACTTTGTATTTGGATTTCTAGAAAGCACCAGGGAGCAAGCTGACTTCGTTTCCAGCTGCCTCATAAGATGCAAATCAGGCCACACTGATTGGTTCTTTTTTAAAATTCTTTTTAATTTTTGTATGTTTATTTTTTTTTGAGAGAGAGACAGAGCGTGAGCAGGGGAGGGGCAGAGAGAGAGAGGGAGACACAGGAATCCAAAGCAGGCTCCAGGCTCTGAGCTGTGAGCACAGAGCCCGACGCGGGGCTTGAACCCACGAACTGTGAGATCGTGACCTGAGCTGAAGTCAGACACTTCACTGACTGAGCCACCCAGGCGCCCCCACACCGGTTGGTTCTTAAAGGGAAGAATGACCCCCTCTCAAGAGTGAAGAATTTGGAAACAGTAAAGTTTGATAGAGAAGGAAAGAAAGAGTCAGAGACCTGGAGAGAGACAGACAGACAGTGCGAGGTGGGGAGGGGCTGAGGTAGGGGGAGATGGAGGTAGAGAGGAAGAGGTGGAGAACTCAAGCCTCGTGAAAACACCCCCACTAAAAAAACGTTAACAGTGAGCCTCATAAGTGGGAAGACAAAGAAGTAAGTGTTCTTGCCTTCACATGTGCTTTCCAAGATTTCTTCATTAAATGTGTAGTACTTTTGTGATTAGAGAAAGAATTGGGGGGGGGGGAGAAAAAGAATTGAAAAAAAAATGAAAAATGCCCCACCTCCAGTGCTATTACAGCTCTGAGTGGAGAGAGAATGCCTGCTCTGGGCTGCTTCTATCTTACATGTTTCCGGAAGGGACTTAACTTCTCTCCTTCCTCTCTTTTTTCCCTTTTTTTGAGAAGACTTGGGTCAGAGCCGGCTCAGGGCTGAACAAGAGCTGAGGTTGACCGAGGGTGGGTTAAAGGGATTTTAAGGAGAGGATTAGAAGCTGCTTTGCAAGGAGACTTGGATTAACTTTTTCTTCCCGGCTCTATTTCTGCAAGAACTGGCTTGTCCTACATCAGCGTAGGAGGACAGTGGGGAGGGAGGTGGGATCGGCTCTGCTTAGGGAGGTGATAAACCTTGGGTTTAGATCATTCATTCTTTCACGTATTCACTCAACAAGCATTCAGGGAGCACCTCCTCTTGCCCAGTCCTGAGCTACCCTGGAGATGTGCCAGGATGAATACCATGCCTGCGGGGGGCTCCTAGTCGCCTGGGAGAGACACCGGGGGGCCTCATAGAACCAATACTAGACGATTGATCCGTCCCCCAAGTAGAAGTTTCGCGAAGGCTGAAGTTCTGCTTTTACTCCATCCAGATACAGAGCTCGCTCCTGAAATGAAGAAGTAAGGAATGGCGGTGAGGTTCTTATTCAGGACAGTGGTGACTAGGTGACACAGGTGGTTTCCAAGGGATTTTGATTTCCAAAGAAACTGGTGCTCTGGACAAGGAATGTGGCTAAACTCGAGACCCATAGGGCTGGAGGGAGGTGGAGACAGGAGACAAAAGCAGTGGATCTGTTAGTGTGTTTGGCGCTGTGAGTAACAAAAAAGCCAACCCCAAGTGCCTTCAACAACAAAGAAACTTAGGGTCTTTACAAAGAAGTCTCGAGCTGGGTGGTCCTAGGTACAGTTCAGTAACCCAACGGTGTTGCCAGGATCCAGGTGCTGACTATCTCTAGGCTCCTCCAGCCTTAGCCTGGCAAAGAAGAGGCTCACTTCCTCCCATCCATCTCTCTTACAGGAGGGAGAAACCTTTCCCGGAAGCCCTTGGGCCGACTTTGTCTCCCATCCCATTGGCTGAAATGGAATCCTATGTCCATGCTCTGACTGCAAAGGTGGCTTGTGAAAGGAACATCTTACTTTTTCAGCCTCTGTTATAACAGGTGGGCTCTGTCAATCAGGGAAAAAAGGGAAAGGGAAGGATGGGTAGATAGGCAACCAAAAGTATCTGGCCACAGCCCAGGTGAGGCCTGCTTCACAGCATCAACAGGGGTTGGGTGCTGTTGATAACTCCAGCCGTCCCCCAAATTTCTAGCTTCCCCTTTAATTCCTAAGTAACAATGGGACCCCGTGACTATAAGAAGACCAAACTTTTATCAGGTTCATTCTGCAGGATATTCCTCATTATCTCTGGCGGGATGCTCGCATGCCCCACAGACCATCCTCGATGCTGCTTGGCAACCGTAGTGAGGCCCTCCCTCAGGACTTCTACTGCCCGTGTCTGCCATTTGTTAGCTGCCTGCACCAGGATGCTGCTCCTGTCCCCACACCATCTCGAGCTGGTGGCAGTATGCAGCTCTCTTCCTTAACAGACCCCAAGGTCATGGCTGGGTTAGTTAGAATATAGGTTCAATTACGCTAACTGAGACCACCACTAACAGTGGCTTAAACAAAGAAGTTCATGTCTAACAGTCAGAATGATGAGCGGCACCTGGGTGGCTCTGTCAGTTAAACGTTCAACTTCCACTCAGGTCATGATCTCCTGGTTCATGAGTTCAAGCCATGTGGCAGGCTCTGTGCTGACAGCTCAGAGCCTGGAGTCTGTTTTGGATTCTGTCTTCCTCTCTCTCTCTTCCCCTGTCCCACTCACCTCTGTTTCTCTCTCTCTCTCTCTCAAAAATAAACATACATTTTTTTTTTTTAATTTCTGAGAGAGAGAGAGACAGCGTGAGCAGGGGAGGATCAGAGAGAGGGAGACACAGAATCTGAAACAGGCTCCAGGCTCTAAGCTCTGAGCTAGCCACCAGCACAGAGCCCGACGTGGGGCTCGAACCCACAAACTGTGAGTTCATGACCTGAGCTGAAGTCGGACACTTAACCGACTGAGCCACCCAGGCGCCCCCAAAAAATTTTTTTAAAAAAAGAATGATGCCTGTAAGCAACCAGGATGATCAGACCGATGCACATCAGCTGAGTATCAGCCCTTTTTAATGTCTTTCTCATGTAACAATCTGTGTGTGATCAGTTTGGGGATGACAGGGCAGCCCCACAGAGTCAGGGGCCAGACTCCTATCTTGTTCTTTCCTTCCTGTTGCATGATTGCCCTGGAATGCCCACTATGTCCACCTTCCAGGCACCAGGATGGAGGAAAAATGTGAAAGAAATTCCCCTGCCACCCACCCCCAGCACCTCCTGAGTGTGATTTAGAAGTGGATCACAACAGGGGAGCCTGGGTGGCTCAGTCGGTTAAGTATCTGACTTCCGTTCAGGTTATGATCTCATGGGTTGTGTGGTCAAGCCCCACGCTGGGCTCTGTGCTGGCAGCTCAGAGCCTGGAGCCTGCTTCAGGTTCTGTGTCTCCCTCTCTCTCTGTCCCTCCCCTGTTCACACTCTGTGTGTGTCTCTCTCTTTCAAAAATAAATAAATATTTAAAAATATTATTTTAAAAAAAAGAAGCGGATCACTTCCACCCATGTCCCATTGGCCAGCATGTAGTCACATGGGATATCTAGCTGCAAGGGAAGCTGGGAAATGTCATCTTTTGCTGGGCAGCCATTTGCCCGGCTACAATCCTATTTCTATAAAAGAAGAAGAGATATGATATTGGTGACAACTGATATCTGACCCAAAAGCTAAGGCGAGCTCATAGCAGGGAACGAAATTTTATCGAAGCCTCGGAGATATCAGGTGGGTGCTGCAATGCAGAAAAGGAACCCGCAAAATGAGATTGTAAACAAGTAGCTCCTGCAGCCCATGTACTTGCTTGGTTGCATGATTGCTTTCCCTCCTACAGCCTTGACCTCCCTTCTCTCCAGCCTGCCATCATGTTGTGGGAGCCAGCCTACCTCTCAGAGAGAGAGGTTTCCGGACCCTTTCTCTCTAGAGTTTTAGAACCCTCCTCTTCCTCACCTAACCCCAGATACAGCCGATGGGGAGAGCTCCATCCATTGTGTGGTCTCCCACAGCCCAGGTGAGGCCAGCTTCAGCGTTTGTAAGCACATTCCCCCTGGTCTGGGTCCCTCTGCATTCGGTCACTCCAAGTGTGGGTCCGCTCCAGCTGTCTCCCTCCAGCACAAGGGGAAGAAAAGTTGGGCCGTCTCTTCCCTCTCTGCATAGTCAGGTCTCAAACAGAAGGCTATTCCATCTTCAATTACAAAAACTACTAGAGCAAAAACCTGATCAAAAAGACACACATCTCTCCCAAGGATTCCCAGAACATTTTTTTTTAAATGTTTTATTTATTTCTAGGAGAGAGAGAGACAGACAGACAGCGTGAGCAGGGGAGGGTCAGAGAGAGAGGGAGTGACAGACTCTGAAACAGGCTCCAGGCTCTGAGCTGGCAGTCAGCACAGAGCCCGACGCGGGGCTCGAACCCACGAACCGCGAGATCATGACCTAAGTGAAAGTCGGATGCTTAACCGACTAAGCCACCCAGGCACCCCTTCCCAGAACATTTTTATCTAAATGTAAGCTTAGAGCTTAATTCCTTTTCTCTAAAAGGCTGCTGTATTTAGACTGACTCAACTCATTATGCCAGTGCTGCTGTGTGACAATGGACAGGTTACATAACCACTCTGTTTCCTCATCTTAAAATGAGGTTAATGACAGTCCCTCTCACAGGGTTGCTGGGAAGATCTAGAGAGATGATGGAGGTAAAGTACTAGCTTAGCATAAAGCCTGGCCTATAGTTAACGCCCAATACACATAGCTATCCTAATTTCTGTTACTAAACAATAGTATGCAATCCAATATGGGGGATCTGCATCTGAATAATGTTACTGTCTGAGGACTTCCCCCAAGTGCAGTGGTTCCTCCCAGAATAGGACAAAGACCATTTTCATTTTCAAAGACAGAAACTGCTTCTATCCCACATCAAGAATTTGAAAATCTAGACCTCGCTCCCAGGACTAGCTCCATAATTTGGGGGCCCAGTGCAAAATGAATACACAGGGTCCCTTGTCCAAAAATTATTAGGAAGTTCAAAATCTTCATACGGATGTACACAGATTGCACACACACCCGCGAAGCTGGCCCTGCTCACTTCCACTGGCGGGACAAAAATCAGAGACGGAAGATAGCACGTTACCATGCTATGAAAACATCTAGAAGCCCATGGCAGCCTGCTTTTTCCAGTCAGCAACACAGTCCTCACAGCAACAACCAAGTTCATTCAGTCCTTGCTGTGAACTGGAGACCCGGCTGGCCCCGTTTCGTGTGACTGTTACATCCCTGCCTTCACGGCAAAGGCAGAAGACCAAGGATCACAGAGGACAAAGAACTTGTCCAAGGCCACACAAGCCCAGGTCAGCGGATTCCAGGCAACCCTCTGCCCAGAACCACTATGTGCCTTCCGGCCACCTCCAACCCTCTAAGCTGGAGAGTGGGGTCTCTGGAAATCCTCTCGGACTCCTCCTTCGCTGAAAGCACGGGGCCTGGCCCATTTCCATCCTTGGGCCTAACTTCCCTCCTGAAATCTTCCCCCTTGCCTCTGACCCTCCTTTCTCAGAACACACGTGATCCCCTCTCCCCCCCCCCCACCTCCCACTGGGCAGTGGCCCTTTTGCAGGATGGGCAGCTCCGGATCAGATTTATGTATTTATTTTTGTTTTTTATTTTTAATGGCTTGGAGTAAGCTCTAAAATATTTTCGGGGGAGGGGGAGGGGAGGAGGGGGGGGTCTTCACCAGGGTGGGGAAGGGCCCAGTAAGGATGAGAGTGAGGAGCTCCTGGACTGCAAACCTTGCTCCGAATTCTGAACTGGTGCAGAACTTATAACTATTGACAGAATGTCCGAACTGGGAGCCGCATCTAGAGGATGACCCTGGGTTCAAATCCTGGCTCTACCCTTTCTTAGCTGTGTAACCACAAGCAAATTGCATGACCTGTGATTCCGTTCAAATGGGGGCAAAGAATGATACACAGGCTCTACTATGTTCTTGTGACAATTGTTATAACGATTATTATCCCTTCATTGTCATTATTTGTTTAGAGCTCGTGGGAGTTCTTGGAGAGATTGTACAGCATCAGGGCTGAAACCAGTCTGCCAGTATTTAAATCCCACTTCACTACTTATAGTTGTGCGATCTTGGGTAAGAAGTTGACTTCTCTGGGCCTCATTTTCTTCATTTGCCACTATTTCCCTCCAACAGAGAGATGGGTGTAGGGATGGCCTGTGAGACCCAGTTGACCAAGGAGATTCGAGGCCAGACTTGTGCTGAGACCACCAGGGAAAAGAAGTACTCTTCCCATTGGAGTTGCTGGGCTGGCAGGAAGTGAGCCTGGAGCTGCTGCTGGGTTACCTTGACGACCTCAGGGGGAGAGTCTGAATGTGAAGGTAACACAGGGAGAAGCATATAAGAGAGCTGGAGAGAGCCATGACAATATGGTCTGAGCTCCTGGATACGGCTGTGCCTGAAGCAAACCACTTTTGGACTTACCGGGTTCATGAGCCAATAATTCCCCTTTTTGTGAAAGCCACTTTCAGTTGGGATTTTCTCCCTGGAAAGCATCCACACTGGTGGGGTGGGGGTGGGAGGTGGCGGTTAAGCGACTTGCCCAAGGCCAGAAAGCAGGTAAGTAGCAGATGCAGGATTTAAGAGCTTCTCATCTGCTGTGCCCAGGCCAGTGTTCTGTATTTGGGTCTTCACTGATTTTCCCTCTTTATGCTCCCCGAGCAGCCATTTTCTCATCGGCAAAATGGGATAACGCCAGGCTCGCAGGGCTGCTGGGAAATATAAAGTGAAAGATGGCGACACGATTACATAGTGCTGTCTGTGGCTGGAGGCTGACACGCTGTGCAGCCAGTGTCCGGTGCGTGGGCCTTGGCTTTGTTCCTTGTTAGCTTTTCAGTCTCAGGGATGTGTTTAGCCATACATCCAGTCAAGGTGCCTGACTGTGTTAGATGCCCAACTGTCTGCGTGATTTTCAGACAGAAGGGCCACTTCATTTCCTGGCCATGTGTCCTCATTGGTGGACAAAGGGACCTGGGTGACCCTGAGAACCCTTGAGCTCTGAGTCTGTAACGTAAAAAGAAGCCCTCTAGTTCTGGAACCTTCCAAGGATTCATGTGCTCGTGTGGAAATCACCTGTTGCTCAAGGAAGTCAGTATTGAACCAAATCAACTTGGTCTCTTTTCTTTATGATGTTTACATTTAGTGGTGGAGACAGATGATAGACACATAAAACAAATATAGAACATAATACCACATGTTAGCAGAGTGAGAAAATATGTCTTCTAATGCCTAGTAAACGCTAAGAGGGAAGAGGGATAGAGTGATGAGACATCATTTATTAGAAGCCATCAGAAAGGGCCTCTCTGAGGAAGTGACATTTCAGCAGAGAACAATTTGGTCTTACTCAGGATCCCAAGCTCTTAACCCTGGACTATCTCCCAGAAAAATGACCAGCACAGATTTTATCAGGAAACTTGCTGATACTGCTAGGTTAGGAGCAAATGATCCTTTGGAGGCTTGGTAAACAACTGTCCTTCTCCACCGACAACTCTTGAGGATGTTTTTAAAAAGTGGATTGGGTCATTGATTTCCTTCATAAACTAAATCCATGAAGGAAAAGCCCAAGAACTTGTGTGAGCCCATTCCTCAGGCATGTCTGCTGGGAAAAGGTTTTAGCTGTCATGACACATGGCCATTTGTTTATTTTCTAAACAGTCATCACTAAGAGATTCCCAAACAGCACCATCAAATCTCTGAGGGATACCAGGACTTGGCTCGTTCTAGGCCAGGCCTCGGCAGGAACTGGCAGAACTTTGTAGATGAGACTCAAGCCTCAGAGAGCCATAGACAACTTAGGTCCCTCCTCCCGACCAAATATCAAGTACTTGGGACACGGACAGGAAATCAAGGTCCCTGCCCTCATGGAACACTATAGTGGGGTCAGGAGAGGGAAGCAAGCCAACAAATAAATAGCCAGGAGAGGTTTAGACAGAGATGAATGCTGTGATGCATGTGTCAGAGAGTGGTCAGAAAAGACCTGTCTACAGAGGTGACATTTGACCTGAGACCTGAAGGGTGAGAAGACTTGTAAGAAGAGTGGTCCAGGCAGAAGTTAAAGCTGGTGCAAAGGTCCTGAGGTGGAAACTAGTTTGATGTTTTAAGGACTGGACTGCAGTAGAAGAGGGGAGAGTTTGGGGAGATGGGCAGGAGCCAGGTCACATGGGTCTTATGGGCCAGCATTAGGGTTTATTTGGGTTTCGTTCTAAGAAGGATGGGAAACTATTGGAGGGTTTTACCTAGAAGGGCTTTATGATCCAAATATTAAAAGCTCTATCTGGCTACTTCTATGTGTGAATGAATGGATATATTGGGATTAGCAGATGCCTGATATTAGGACTCTCGTTCAGGATCAATATTTGTGACAAGGTTTCAACCTCTGCCAGTGCAGTAGATTGAGTGGGGCCTCCAAAAAAATATGTTCGAGTCCTAACCTCCAGAATCTAGAATATGATCTTTTTCAGAAAAGGGGGCTTTGCAGATGTAATTAATTTAAGGATCTTAAAGTGAGATTGTTTCAGATTACCTGGGATGGCCAAATCATCCTGGATCAGGGTAGATCCTAAATCCAATGACAGGTATCCTTATAAGGGTGAGGCAGAGGGAGATTAGACAGACAGAAGAGAAGATACAGAGAAGGAAACTGTGTACAGGGGCGCCTGGGCGACCCAGTTGGCTAAACATCCAACTTCGGCTCAGGTCATGATCTCACGGTTCGTGAGTTCGAGCCCCGCGTTGGGCTCTGTGCTGACAGCTCAGAGCCTGCAGCCTCCTTCAGATTCTGTGTCTCCCATTCTCGCTCTGTCTCTCCCCAACTTGTGCTCACTCTCTGTCTCTGTCTCTCTCTCAAAAATAAATAAACATTAAAAAAAAGAAAAGAAAAGAAAACCATGTACAGATGAAGCCAGAGACTGGAGTGTTGCACCACAAACCATAGAATAACCGAGGCCACCAGGAGTGCAAGAGGGAAGAAGGATTCTCCCCGAGAGCTTTCAGAAGGAGCACCACCCTGCGGCACCTTGATTTCAGACTTTTGGCCTCCACAGCTGTTTGAACATAAATTTCTGTTGTTTTAAGCCACCAGATTTGTGATAATTTGTTATGGCAGCCCTAGGAAATTAATACAGCCACGAAACAGCCCAAACTTGAACCCTGCATTAGCTTCCTGCAGCGCTCCCTTCCTCCCTCCGCATGGAACCTATGCATGGCTTTGGATCCACTTGGAGGCAGTTCCAGTAACTGGGTGGCACTCCCTGCGGGCATAATGGCCAGCTGGGCTCCAGATTGATATTTGACTTATTTACTTAGCTCCTCAAGAGGGTAGGAATGAACCAGCCCTGTTCTCTGTGTGTCCAAGAACCTCTCGGTTCTCTGACTTCCAGAAAAACTAGCACTCAAATAAATAAGGGCAGGAAGAATGGAGGAGCCTGGAAAGTCACCTAAATGGCTAAGATTTAAATTAGGCAGCTTCTAAGTGTACGGGTTCCAACTTTTCACCAGAATGGGCATCTTCTATTAATTTTCCTCCACGGAATACTCAGTTTCTAAAGACATTGGCTATCAAACCAATTGCATTTATTCAATACTCGTTTATCTCCCCCATTTGTTATTAGTTGAAAGTATATAATAATGTGGGCTCTTTGTGGATCCACTCACTATACTAAAAGTAGTAAATACATATGTATTATATACGGTCATTCAGTCTTCATACCATCCCTATTCTCATTTCGTGAAGGAGGGAACAGAAGCAGAGAGGTAAGATAATTTGCTCAAGGTTGCACAGCTAGTATTTAGTAGAGCTGGAATTTGGACCTGGGTACCCTGGCTCCAGAGCAAACACTCCCCTGGAGACTTGGTGAGAATCTTGGTCTCCATGCCAATGTGCAATGCTACTAAGGACAATTGGTTTTGCCACAGCACCCCTCAGTTTCCTCATCTCTAAAATGGGAATAATAGGGGCACCTGCGTGGCTCAGTCGGTTAAGCGTCCAACTTCGGCTCAGGTCATGATCTCTCCGTTTGTGAGTTCGAGCCCTGCCTCAGGCTCTGTGCTGAGAGCTCAGAACCTGCTTGGGATTCTCTCTCTGCACCTCCCCTGCTCACACTCTTATCTCTCAAAAATAAATAAACATTAAAAAAAATAAAATGGGAATAATAACTGCCTATATTGTAGGGTTTTTGTAGGGATTAAATGAGAATGTGTGCTTGGACTGCCACACATAGTGCTACCACAAAGCAGTCAAGGAATGAGCTAGAATTCAACCAGTGATATCAAGCAGCTTCTCTGGGCAGGCTTGAGATGGGAACAATGAACAAAAGATGATTTGGCTCTTTAGGTTCTCTGACCCCACGGAGTTCACCATCTTCATATAATGTGCCAGGCCCAGAAATGGGAGGGCTTAGAGTAGAACCCCCAGGAAGGTAACCTGACCAGTCTCATATGTGCTTCAAGGATCACAGCTACAGTAGCTGGAGTTGCTGGTGAAAATCACAAATTCCTGGTATCTGAATCCTTTTAAGGTGATTCCAGAAATCTGCATTATTCAACACAGGAATGTACTATGGAATTCGTGCTCCACTGAGTCCAGTTTGAGGAGTTCCTTGCTACTTTGAGAAATACTGAAAATCATTCCAAGACCCCAATCCATTCATTTCCGTAGCGTCCAGGATAGGAGACTTCAAACAGAAATCTTGCGTTTTAGCCAAGGCCGGTACCCTCCGAAAAAGGGGCGGATGTCTGGCCTTGAGGCGGAAGGCATGCAGCCCTCGGCCCATACTCCAGCTTGCAGCACTAAGGCCAGGGCCTTGGCGCGGTAGGAAAGATGCATGACTACTTCAAGGTCACTCTGACTCAACCCGCCGCGTTGAGGCTTGAACCCAAGATCCACTGAGGCCATGCAAGCCCACGCTCCGTGGGCGGGACTCCCGGGGTCGCCTAGGCAACGGGCGCACGCCACGCCCAAGCCCCGAGCCCCAGGTCGGGGCGGGGGGGCGGAGGTGGGAGGAGGGAGCGCACGCCTCTGGATATCTCGCGGGGCTGAGGCCACTTCCCCAGCACCACCCCCCGGCTCCGCCCCGCGGAAGTGCTTGCCCAGATTTTCGAGTGCTGATTGGTTCCCTCACGCGAGGGGCGGAGCCTGCGGCAGCGCGGTGCGTACTTCCGGCTGCCGGGTTGACATGAAGAAGCAGCGGCGGCTGGGACGGCAGTAGCGGCGGGAGTCGAGGCTTGTAGCGGGGCTCGGAGCCGAGAGCGCGGCGCGGCCTAGAGCGGCAGGCGGTGCAGTGGGCCCAGGAGGAGGCGCGGCAGCCGCCCTGGCCCGTCATGGAGATGGAAAAGGAATTCGAACAGATCGACAAGGCTGGGAGCTGGGCGGCCATTTACCAGGTGGGGTAGCGCCCCGGGGCGCGGCAGGCCCCTCGCTTAGGCCGCGGGAACCTTCCCCTCAGACCCCCGGGACCCGTCCTCCCTCTGGGTCTCGCCCTCCGCGTCCGCCCTGCCGCTTGAGGATTCGATCGGACGGCGACAGAGGCTGGCCTCCTCTCTCTTTGTCCCCCGGGTGGGCCTGCGTCTCTCCCGGGCCTCACAGACCCCTTTGATCCCCCACCCGGCTCATATCCTCCAGTCCCGGTGACCTCCCGAGCCTGGAAGCCGCCGGTCTGTGTTCTCAGCGCGAACCCCTCGCACCGTGACCCCGCCCCCCTGCTTAGCCACTCTTTGTCCCCTGGGGTTGATAGAACACCCCCCACTACTTCCTTTTCTAGACTGGACCACCTCAGACTCCCTTCCTTTGTCTCCCTGGGGGAAAGGGTTACTCCCCCCTCCCTCCTTCACATTTCCTTTCCCCTAGTCTCGGTGTGTGTCAGGTCCCAAGGATGACAGTCCCCTCGCCCCTTCCTGTTCATTCATTTGGTGGACGTGAACTGGCCTGCCGACTCCATACCGCGCCTGGCGCTGGAAGCCGTATTGGCAGAACGCGGCGGACAAGACCCTGTTTCTCGTGGAGCTTAGAGGGGAATAGGGCAGCCCAGCACCCGAGCAGATAATTTCAGATTGTGACCAGCGCTGTGAAGGAAACAAAACCTCATAGCCGGGTAGAGGCGCTGCCTGGAAGGTGGGCCACCTCGGAGGGGGCCAGGGAGGATCTGTCAGCGGAAGAGACTTCTGCTTCGAGCCCTGAGATGATCGGGCTAAAGCGATTTTGGGCCAGAAGGCCTGCAGAACCCCCTCGTCTGGGGCCAGAGTAATACCTTTCCAGGCAGCGGAAGGGCAACGGGTTTTGCCGTCGCTAAAATAGCCCCTTTCTTTCCCCAACAAACGTCTCCTCCTCTTTGTCCTGCTGGGATCATTGAGGCCTCCCAGTCCTCATTTCCTTGTGGGTCCCGCTGTTCGTAAAGAAAGGTTAGGAAGGCAGGGGCTCACCTGTCCCTGCAGCATCCCGTTAGCCACACGGATAGGCCGACTTTCACAAGCAGCCAAATTCCCCAAGGAAAATATGTGCGCCCGATGAAATGTCACTGCGGGGGTTGTGAGGATTAACTAAAACCACACTTGGCGCTCGAAGTAAGCGACGGACAGACTAGAGAGATTCTGTTACGGGTGTAAAGGGAGAGGGCAGTTTATTCTGTTTTCAGCTTCCAGGCTCCAGAGGCAAATTGTAAGATCCATCAGCTGGTAGTATTAAAATCTATTTTGAGCTCTACTTAAAAAGGAAAAAAGCTTTAAGCAGGGCTTTGGTATGCTTGACTAACAAAAGCCTTTTTTTTTTTTTTTTTTTGGGCAGGCTTGGGCTCATGTGGCTTTGCATCAAGCCTATTTGACAGGATGCTTCTTACCAGGGCTGTGATGGATATTAACTTCTGATAGACTAATATTTATAACCGCTGTAATCTCTACAAGTACAAGGAATCGATACAGGACATTTGCATGCTGTCAGGTCTCTCCGAGTTAATTGAATGACTTCCACTAGTGGCACTGAGAATGTGTGAACAGCTTTTCTGCATCAGGTTTAATGCAGTAGCAGCCCAAGTGGCTTTGAAGGAGAAAATTGTTTGAAGTGTTGATTGTGCCCTGGCCCATCCATCACAAGTGGAGGTGGCCTCCGGGAAGCCCTGGGGACAGTCTTTGGTACTGAAACTGGGTGGACAGCGGTGGATGTATATCCCCAGAATTTGTTGGTTGAATTTTATTTCTTGCTGTTGTAGGGCAGCGTGGGAAGCCCACTGCCCCGGCACGGCGAGCGCTGTGGTACCTGTGGTGGCAGTTCCTGGGTTCGGGTACTGCATTTGAACGCCAGGAGTTTGTCAGGTTGCTGTGTGTGGAGATCTCCCTGGCATCTTAGTGGGTTGCACGTTCCCGGAGGTGGTTTCTTTTTATTTGAGAGAATTGCCCACTCTAGGATTTCTCCTATAGCCCAGACAGATTATCTCCTATATCCCAAACGTTGAAGTCGGAATCTTTACTCCTTTTCGAAGTTGAAAGTGGCTCTTTATTGGGCAACTGTAGCATTTTTAAGAACACAGAATTTCAATGACCTTGAGTCTCAAGTGGGAGATTTCCCAAAGTGTGTGTTAGTTTACCAAAAACCATCATTTTTCAAGCATTCCAAAAATGTATTTACTTTGGTAGAAAACAGAAGTCAAAAAGTTAATATCGCCTGCCACAATGAAGGTGGCCTTACACGAAGTCATTTTGAGCTTATTTGGCTCTTGTGATTAGAAAAATAATATGTGATTTGGGCTTAAAACTCTGTAAACGATGCAGTGCAGTTATTTCTTACTATACTTCCCTAACTAAGACAGCAGATGCAAAAACTTGGAAGCATTGGGAAAAGAACAAAGGGTGAGGTAGACTTTTGAATGTCCAGGAGTAGGGCTGCTTGGGAACAAATGCTCAGGCAAGGAGGACTCCGTGCTGCTCAACTTGATAAATTGAGCAGAAATGGGTTTTTAATCGTCAAATCTAACAGCACAGATACTAGGAAGCATTTGGTGTCTATAAAAAGTCCGCTTCGAGAGCATATGGAGATGGTTTTAAAAACTTGTCGTCTGCCATTTAAGCAGTTGTGTGTCCGTTTTGAAAAGTGGAAGAAATACTTTGTGAGCCTGGAGTTTGAGATACGCTGCCTATCCAGAAGGGCAGTGATTGCAGATGGGGACAAGGGATTGGGTTTCGGAGCTAGAATGAGAGGGGAGAGGGCTGCAGTGAATGCAGGTAGCTCATAAGCTGCCCTCCGTGTGTAGTTTAAGGTTTGGGTCAGGTGTTGTGCTCTTTGTCTCCTCTCCAGTTTTCTGATCCTCCGACACTGGTCACCGTTTTTCAGTGTGAATGATTTGATTGTCTCTGATAAAAAAAGATTGCAACAATAGCTCGTGACTTTAAGTCAAGATTTATTCTATGTTAGAGGCAGGCTTTGTAAAATGGGCCACTCTTCCAATTGACATTTGTTTTTATAGCTGCTTTCATTATGAAATGGGATCTAGTCATAACAGCAGGTCACTACAATTCCTTGCAGCTTATATTGTTACAATCCCAAAATGATGAATATTAAAACTTGCTAATAATTTTTACGTAAGTACCATTCTCTTCAGAGAAAAACTGTGCAGAGGAGAAAAGATCTATACGCAATGACTCACTTAAAAAAAAAAACAACAAACGACAAAACGGAAATGACATGGAGAGATTGGGAAGTTCTAGTCATGTTGAGTGACCCATCAGATCTAAATGTTCTTGTGGAGCCTTGGTTTGAGGGAACTAAATTTAGGTGTCTGGTCACCACTTTGGAAATGGCGTGAAGACCTTTGTCATTGTCTGGACTCAAATTAACTGGGAGCACAAGTAGAAATAGTGGAGGGGGAGGACTTTTGCTATCGTTATTTCTTTGGCCTCCCTGGCGTGTTTATAGGTATACTTTGGTGCCTTTGGCAGTATGTAAACTGCGAGGAGGCTCTGAAAAGGCAGCTGGGGCATAGTGGGAATGCAGCCCTTTCATTTGCCATGATGTCTCATGGTGGAGGGGGGGTGTCGGTGAAGGGGCTAGGGGGAGGGAGGGCACTGCATTTGCATTTCAACATGAGAATCTTCCCCAAACCTGTAAATACCTGGGATTGAATAATAATGTAATTGACTGTATACTGCATGTCATGATAAAGGTACATTTAAAAATGTCCTGTAAGAAAAGAAATTTTCAGACTATAAACTGCTGAAATAATTGTGCCTTCCCCCCCACCCCCTTTCTGAATTGCCTGTTTTTGACCTTCAACTTGCAGAATCCTTTTGGCAGTTTATGTCCTATGCTGGGGTCGGAATTGCAGGCACTTTTTTGTAAGCCTGCCTGAGCCCACGCGTCTTCCTGCACAAGCTGGCCAGTCCCTCCCAGGTGTTCCTGTTTATTTGTTCATTTTTGTTACTTTGTCAGTTTGTTCATTTGTAGTCAACCAATGCTGACAAACAGGTGGGGTGTGCTTCTTCCTACTGTTGTTTCCGAGACCATGTAGTTCGGTTCCAGTCATTTTGATGTGCGTGTTTTGAATATCTGTGAATGCCGGGGATAGTTCTCCAGTCCCTCCACCACCCTGCGTGGATTGGTCACCATGGCCCCCTTCCTGCCACCCCAGTGGTCTGAGTTCTCACATTCTGCCTGTAGTAACTCCTGCCGTCTCTAGTTTCACACCGCAGAAATGAGGGAACCCAGTCATGAATTGATACCTTCCCCTCATGGTCTCTTCGCACCTCCTCCCCACCCCCGCCTTGACCACATATTTTCTTCACGATATCGCTAGAGCGATTGTGTTTAAAACAGACCCTGACCTGTCCCTCTGTGTAACTACTTCTTGTGCTTTCTTAGTAATACCTGTAAGGGCTGAAGGGCTTAGCGTGGCAGCCAGGTTCCAGCCTGCCCCTGCCTCGTACCTTCTATTCCGGCCACGCTCAGAGGTGCAGCGCCCTCCAGGCTCCTCTTCCATTCTTCTGTGTCTTGGCTTAACCACTTTGTCCAGGCTGCCTGTCCCATAGCCTGCCCTGCGCCGCCCGGCTCAAATGTGTGCGTCCCTTGGCTTTGGATTTTGCCCGCTCACCTTTGTGTATATTCCCAGACAGTCTCATACATACCCCATCTAAAGCCACCGTTTCTTTCTGTCAGGGCCTGTGTCCTGAGTCCGCGCTGTTGAGGTCAGCTTTTCCCTCCCAGTCACCTTGGCATCCTCTGCACCTGGCAAAAAGTGCCCGAGAGATGTTGGGATTAAATTGGTTGGCAGCACTCTGCCAGGCCCTGGCAATATACAGGTGAACAAGACAGGTTTCCCAACCCCCGTTCGAGGTGGGGAAGGAATGATAGAAGCAGTGAGATTACCCGCATTAGTACTAATAGCAGAGGTCCCTGGGAGAAA